TCATGTTGAGGTGACTGCAGTGAAGTGGACCGCCGCCGTGGCTCAGCCGGGGGAAGACCCCCAGAGCGTCTGATGACAGCCTCCTGCAGCATTTTCCGGCGGTTCTTCCCAGTGGCCGAGTGGCGGGCCTCCCGACCAGAAGAATACGCTGCAGGTGGAGGTGAGGTGGCAAATCCATGTGGAGCCCTGGCGGAGTGGCGAGTAGTTCCGTTTGGTGCAAGAGTACGCGCAGCGGCAGCAGAAGCCTCCTCCAGTCCCAGGCCGACCGGAGCCCCGTCCTTCAGCAGTGTGAAGCGGTTGTGGAGGGTCATCCGGGGTTGCAGAGGGGCCAGATGGTCCGTCTTCCGCCTGCGGCGCACCACGTCGGTCCAGGGTAGCTCGGGCGGCTTCGGAGTGGAGCTGTGTACTGGGGCCAGCAGCCTCTTTCTTGTCGCACTCTCGGAGTTACCTGACGGGGCCGGTGTTGTGGCGTCCTGGTCCAGCACAGTGAGGGCGCTGGCCAGACCCTCTGTCCCAACGCCATCGGTGCCTGAGGCCCCTGTACTGAGGTCTCCCATAGAGCGGTGCCCGGTCGTTTCGGCTACCGGTCGTTTCGGCTACCGGTTCCTCCGGGTAGGCCCGCGCGAGGCCGAGGTGAGTGGAGGTCAGCCAGGGAAGAGTGGCGGACGAGGCAGACACCAGCTTTGATGCCGGCGAGGATGGTGCGGATGGCGATCGGACCGCCAGGATCGAGGACTGCATATAAGATATGTGTTTTGACTGTGCAGCAGCCACGGAAACAAAGCCTTCAATCAGATGGTCCTTGTTCTGAAGTTCGGACTTCAGTCGTTGGATATCGTCCTTTAACTGTGAGTACTGATGTTCGCAGTTCGTACACACAGACATGGCTAGCTCCAGATGTTTACGAACAGTTTAAAGCTAGCAGCAGTCTTCCAGTGGCAGGCTTCAGTGATTACCACACTTTAAAAGTAATATCCAAACACCCAAAGGCTAAAAATGTTTATCTATGTTGAAGAAATACTTAAAACTTAAAAACACAAGTATAACCGAGGAAGTAGTTAAAACTTGATAAAAAGTAAAAAGTTTTGGCAGCGCTTCTCTCCAGAGAATGACTACATAGCGGAAACAGCCAAAGCCTGTGCTGCGTTCAATGACATCAGAAGGCAGCTTCATAGGGTGGATCACTTACACACAACATCCCAGGATCCTGAATAGGTGACAAATGATTCCTTGATTAGGTTACAGATGGAGATGGATGGCTGAAAGCCTCTAAAGCCAAATCTACATTGCCATTGCATACGTTAATAAGTAAAGTATTGCATTCCATCCTGTTTATTTCTAGGTAGTGATTTGTTTTTGTTTGTAATTCAGCCAAATGATTCTAGTTCTATTATACAATTTTCAAATAATTCAAATAATTTGTCTTTTAATACCACTCCTGATGTGCCTTATTCTTTTTCTCTACATGTTGCTCTGCTGTGTTTAGTGGGTAGCACTTCTGCTATGAGTGATCTTCCATTGTTCTGGGTGGGTTAGCACGGCTTTGGGAAAATGTATCAAGGTAAACTTTATTATTATATTGTTGAGGAGAACAATGGTACCAGGGACAAATGAGTTTTGAAGTCTGTTAGTCCTGCACCTCATGGGCACAGTATATCTGCGAGTAGATGGCAGCAGCTTGTACTCAGTGTTAAGGGGGTAAATTTGTATTTATTTATTTTTGTCCTTTATAATGTCAGGGACTCTATCTGTACTCAGATTACTTAAAGAGCCCATATTATGCCCTTTTTGGGGTTCGAATATTTAATCTATGTACCTACTTTTGTACATTCACAATAGCTAAAGTCGTGCACGGCGGAGTTTTCACCCCGATGCACACACACACACACATACACACACACACACACACACAAACACTTGCGCGCACACTATCACCAGCGGAGGCCTGGGTGTGTGTGGTTGTGTCTCACAGACACACACAATAATAAAAAGTCCATAAGAACATCAGAAAATAAAGTAGTCTGCTTAGTTTATCTACTTCAGACTTTTCTGGGCATGTCTCTCTCTCTGCCGTTACTCAGGGGATGCGCTGTTAGCATGCTGCATTCAGGGGAGCTCAGACAATGAGAGATGCATTCAGGTGCGCTCAGAAACAGGAGTTGCAGGAACAAAAACTAAGCTGGACAGACCATTACAAGTTGAAATAATTGTTCAGTTATATTGACAGCTGTCATTTAAAGAAACACGTTTCGAAAAATCTTCGAAGGAATCTTTTTCAGTCATCTCTTTTCTTCAGTCTTATTTTGTAAAATAAATCGTGAGAGAATCGTATTGTGAGTTGAGTGAATCATTACATCCCTATTAATATATGAATATGCCTAATGCGCTGTCTCCTGGCTCCTGGCTTTTATTAGTTGGAATATTAAAGGGATACGTCATCCCATTAACACTAGGACTGCCAACATTCTAGACCCCGCTCCAAGCGCCGCATATGCAAACCTTTAGTCTATTATATTGTTGGATATATTAGGCTCCGCATTTTAATAAAAACACTGCAAAAAAAGAGATAAACACCAATGTTCCTACTCCTACTTGTTCCTACTTGTTTCCCCGACATAGAGGATATCATTGAACAACACATACGCACGCCAAAAACAACAACAACAACAACAAAAACACGGCTATCTTCTTCAACATTCTTGCAAATCTTCCTGATCCCAACACCTATCATTTAATTTTAGGGAGTGATTTTAATTTTGTGTTAGAGCCAAATGTATATAGATGGAACTCTAAGTTCCCAATTAATGAATCTAAATTTAAAACCACAGTTCACAGTTCACAAGGATGCTTACAAATGATTCAATCCCTGCCACCAAACAATACTATTCTTTCACCTGTCCACCGTTCATACTCAAGGATGGATTTTTTTTTATTGATAATAAAATTTTTCCATTTGTTATCAGCTGTCAACATCATTATATTGTATTTTCTGACCACTCTCCCGTCCAATTAGATATGAGCTTCCCAGATAATATTACATCCCAACTAACATGGCGTCTGAATCCACTACTATCTTATTTACCATTACAAAATGTTATCTCAGATCAAATAGACTTTTTTTCTAATAGTACACCAGGTACTAAGGCCCTCCTTAATACAAGTGTTGGATAATAAATATATAAAGAACAACTGTTATTACAAGCTAGTAATGTGAAAAGCAGTTCTTTTCAGTGTACTGAATCAGTTCAGTACTTCACCACATCTCTGATTGCCAATCAGAACTTATTCAGCTGAAACACGGCCGAACCTTTAGTTCTGCTCGTGATCGTACTGAGAACGGCCGGTGGTGAATAAGAAGCCAATGAGCTGAGCATTTAGTTGGATTGGTGAATATATAAACTGAATTCACTGGAAATGTACTTCTCATTGGCCAATTCCCTGCACATGCAGACACACAGCAAGGGGAGGGGGATGGGGAGGGGGGCATTTCTACAAGTACAAATTTGTTTTGCTACAGACGTCTCGCAAAATGTGTTGCAAAACTCAAGCAGCGCAGATTCACACGAGAAAAGTAGTTTGTGCAGTTGTATCGGCAGATTGGAGAAGTTGTAACCGCAGAGTTGTGGTTATAAAGGATAATGGACACGAGTAATAAAAAAAAACATGTGAGTAAATGTTGGATTACAAGTTTGCTGCTGTCATTTTATTTGTGTAAATATCAGTCTACACATTAGTGACATGAAATTCATTTCACGTGTGAAACATTAAACATTTTTACGTACAAGTTCACTTTTTTTCCTTCAAGCTCTCATCACATTCTAGAAGCTCTCACGTCACAGTCTATAAGCACACATCACATTCTACAAGCTCTCGCATCACATTCTACAAGCTCTCACATCACATTCTACAAGCTCTCACATCACATTCTACAAGCTCTCACATCACATTCTACAAGCTCTCACATCACATTCTACAAGCTCACATCACATTCTACAAGCTCACATCACATTCTACAAGCTCTCACATCACATTCTACAAGCTCTCACATCACATTCTACAAGCTCTCACATCAGTCTACAAGCTCACATCACATTCTACAAGCTCTCACATCACATTCTACAAGCTCACATCACATTCTACAAGCTCACATCACATTCTACAAGCTCTCACATCACATTCTACAAGCTCTCACATCACATTCTACAAGCTCTCACATCAGTCTACAAGCTCACATCACATTCTACAAGCTCTCACATCACATTCTACAAGCTCTCACATCTCATCTCATAAACCAAAACCAATTAAGAAATACCTGTAAATTCTGTGTCTGATTATTATTACAATAAATAATAAACTAATTAGTAGTAAATTTAGAATGTATTATATTAATATAAGTCAACAGCAAAATATTCCTCATTTAGTATCGCAACAAGTTGCGACTAAACCAGTCATATAAAATGTTTTAAATTCTGAAATAACCATTCTCCACAGTGAGGAGATCTAATTTGGGGCTTTTTATGCCTTCATTATAGAGACAGGACAGTGGATAGAGTCGGAAATCAGGGAGAGAGAGAGTGTAGCATGAAATTCCGAAAGGGAGCCACAGGTCGGATTTGAACCCAGGCTGCCCGCTTTGAGCACCGTAGCCTCAGTACATGGGGCACGCTACCAACCACTAGGTCACAAGTGCCAGAAGACCATAATTTCTTGAGCTTTTATTGAACACATATCTCCCATTGCTTTAAAAACAAATTAAACAAGATAATATGGCAACACTACAGTGACACCTCATAACCAAAGAATATAAAACTAGAGCTACACTAAAACAAAGAACCTAGGCTTGGGTCATTTCTAAAAGTGTCTCCTTTACTTTTTGAACAAGACAGCACTGACAAGTGGATGTGTCTTTTTTATTTTTCATGACTAAGACTGAGATTGGCTACATTTGATTATGTTTAGAATTTGCCTTAAATACCATGGCATGTGTTTTCTTGTACCAGGCCGAGTTTATGGTGTACTAGGAAAGCGAGAGGGTCGTGTCCTCCATGAGGAGATGAAGGAGGGGACAGACATGTTTACCATCAAGGCTGTACTACCTGTGGCTGAGAGCTTTGGATTTGCTGATGAGATCCGCAAGAGGACCAGTGGATTGGCCAGTCCTCAACTAGTCTTCAGCCACTGGGAGGTGAGTATAAGATGTGTACTGATTGTGTGTGTGTTTAAGTAACAGAGTGTTGGAAACAGCTTAAATCAGCAAAAAGTCTGTTGTGCTTGCCTTTAGTTGTATTCTTATATGCCTGCCTCAAAATAATCAACTACACTCTGTAGCCTATTGAAATCTGGTTTGGTTAAGTAATCTAAAAACTCAAGTTTATCAACCTATTAGTTTTGGCCATGTCCCATTTCTTCAGATTATTTGAGTCAGTTGATTTAAACATGTACTGCAGGTGACTAAATTTGCAGATTACTTGCAGCTTTTTGGGGGAAAATTGTTGCTCTTTTCATTCCGAATAAACTTGTTACCAGTGAACATAATGAATTGTGAGATGTTCCACCTATGGTCATGAGCTGTGAGTAGTGACCAAAAGAATGAGATCACGAATACAAGGGTTTCTAAGCTCAACCTTAGAGATAGGGTGGGGAGCTCGGTAGTACAGTCGATATCTCCTGGTCGCCCCCCTCTGGAGGTCTTCCGGGCACGTCCAACTGGGAGGAGGAGCTTGAAAACGTGCCTGGGAGGAAGGAAGTCTGGGTCGACGAGACCCGGCACCGAATGAGAGGAAGATAATGTTTTTTTGTTGCCACTGTCCCAACTTTTTGAGTGATTTTCTCTGCAACACCCCGGGAGTGTTTTCATGAAGCATGAGAAAATATGGAATATAAACTGTGGCCTCCAGGGCTAAACAGCAATGTGTGTGTTTGTGAAGCTCCCACTTTTCTTAAAGAAAAGATAAACTTTATTGATCATGAGGTGGTGATGCTGTTAAAGAGTCTGATTAAACAGACTTCATGCACACACTAAGGAGATTGATTGAAAGCACGAGCGGATTTCATAACTGCATTACAAGTATTAATAAGGCGATGAATTATTTGGAGAAAACAGACAAATCTATGTAGAATTATACATTAAACACTCTGATAAAGCTGAAATGAAGTTATCCTTGTGCTCGCCTATGAGACTGGCATTCCACTGAGGCTCTGACGAACGAATCATCAATTACTTGGCTATATGGGGTCAACCATTACATTATTGTTCCTTAAAATAGCACTAGTCATGGACTTCCGATTAGCTGATGGAGTAGTTGGACGCACGTGAAATCGCTCTCCCAGACTACCCTGGGAATACCCTCCCTAGAACTCGAAAAAACAACAATTAACAATTTGGTTATAGATGAGTGGGAGACGAAACACAAAAGGCCTTAAAGGGGAAGAAAAAATGCCAAAATAGCAGGATAAAAGTTCCTCGGCGGCGAAAGCTAACACCGTAGCAGATCAAGCTAGTATCGGCAGCGCAGTTAAAGGTGCAAGCGGGCAGAAAATCCCAGGCTCAAGCTTAGACCCCGAAGATATAATTACAGCGATACAAGACCTAAAGGATGACCTAAAGGGGGATAACAATAACTTGAGAAAATAGCTTAATCGGGTGGGACAACAAATCAAGAGAAAACTAGACGGCCTTTCAACGGAGATGCAGGGTCTGTCTGACCAAGTTGGCGAAACGGAGACACGGGTGGAGCAGGTGGAGGAGTGGGCTGCGGAGGCGACCGAGGCGCTCTGCACCTGCCTGGAACAGCAAAAGGCCCTGCAGCGAAAACTAACGGACCTAGAGTACCGGTCCCGGAGGAACAATATACGCATATTTGGAGTAGCAGAGGGAGAGGAGGGAAACTCGGTACCAAAGTTCATTGAGAAACTCCTTAGAAGCGAGCTGCCTTTACCACAAGACCTGGAGCTAAAAAATACAACAGGCTCACCGTTCTCCTGCCTTTAAACCCTGACCCAAAGCTCCACCGAGACCCATAATAATCAACTTTCAGGAGTATACGACTAAGGAGACGGTTCTAGGTGAAGCTTGGAAAAAAGGGAAAATCCAGCTGGGTAGCAGAACTCTATATTTTGATCATGCTTATGCGACCGAGATCGTAAAAAAGCGCAAAGAGTATATTGGAATATAGAAAGTCCTGAAGGTAAAAGGGATCTGCTTTCAAACACCATACACGAACATGCGGATTCACTGGAACACTGGACCCCGAACGTACGCAAATGCCCAGGAGGTGCTGCGGGATTTAAAGAAGCAAGGATTTCCCGTGGAGGAGCCGATGAGCGCGGAGGGAGCCGGAGGCGGAGGGGAGCGGCTCCGTGAGCTGTTTGGGTGGCAGCGAGCAGCGGGCCACCGGGAGAGAGAGTTGGCTGCTGCCCAGAGAGCGGGGGAACGACTACAGGAGTTTCAGGGGGGATCCGCTGAGCAAGTATGAACGAGGACTTTATCATCATGATCCGATCCGGTATAGTAAAAAAAAAAAAACCCTGAGTTGGCCATTCTTTGTTTACTAAATGCCTGGGAGAGGCGATTTTGTTTTGTTCAGGATGTGTTGGACTGTAAGGATGGATTTAATTTCATTTGACTCTCTACTGACCACCTTTAAGACTGGGCACTCTCTTAGTGAGAGGTTTTTCCCCCGACCTGCCAACGGGGTCACAGGTGAGGAGGAGCAAGAGTCTCCCCCTCTTTTGGAGGTCTGTTCTTGTATGTGTTCAATAGTTCATAACTTTGTTCTTTTTCTGTTACGAGGGGCTACCAAACCAGTTAAGACTTGGCATGTGCACAGTAGGGTCTCATAACCTGAAAATTGTCTCTTTAAATGTGAATGAAAGAGGAGTAGGGTGTTAGCAAAAATGAAAAAGGATAAGATGCAAGTCATATTTTTACATGAGACCCACATGTCAAAACAGTAGCATGATAAATTGAAAAAGTTTGGGTACTCTAACACTTTCTTTAGTTCTTGCAAAAATAGTCGTAAAAGAGGAGTGGTTACACTCATCTCAAACTCTCTTAACTTTGACCTCATCAAAGAAAAGGGAGACAAAGAAGGCAGATATATCATTATAGAAGGAAAAATAGACAACACTGGTCACACTTGTTAATGTATACGTTCCACCTGAGAGCGACAGGAAATTCCTTAAAAACATGTTTGACACAATAGTCTCAGAAAGTGAAGGCATTTTAGTGTGCTGGAGACTGGAATACAGTTCTTAATTACTCTATAGATACAACAAGCAAAATTAGACAGACATCCCTTAAGTCAAAAGACCTTAATATGTTACTTAAAGAAGCAGAGATGTACTATGTCTGGAGGAGCCTTCATGCACAAGAAAAAGACTTTACTCATTACTCAGCTACTAACCACGTGTACTCCAGAATAGACTACTGAACAACATAGATAGATACAGGGTAAAGGAATGCTCAATAGGAACAGCAGACATATCAGATCATAATGCAATCTACCTTACTATTAATATGAATAACAGATCGAAACATACACTCTGGAGACTAAATGTTGGAATTCTAAACAATGATACAGTTTTAAAAGAGGTTAAGAGAGAAATCAGTGACTGTATAAAAGTTATCAACAATGGTCAAGTGGATCCAACTATACTATGGGATACTATTAAAGCGATAATGAGAGGGAAATTAATTTCAAGAACTGCATACTTAACCAAAATGAAGAAGGCAATATACGATGAGTTACAAGAGACACTGAGAGGACTAGAGAAACAGCAACAGGAAAATGGAGATTGAGGACTGACTAACCAAATAAAAGAAACTAAAAAACAAATAGGGGACTTCTTGAATGATGAGCTTGAAAAGAAAGTGAGATTTGCAAGACAAACCTTCTATGAATCAGGTTCAAAAGCAACAAAAATATTAGCGAGACGACGCAGGTCACAACAAATGCAACACTCAATACACATGATTAGAGATCCGGTAACCAATAAAATAACCTATGAACCGCAAGAAGTTCAAGAAATCTTTAAAGACTATTACAAAACCCTATACTCAGTCTGAGGTTGTAGAGGAAGAACAAATAAAACAGTTCCTATTATCGTTAGATCTACCCTCAATAGGAAAAACACAAAATTATAATTTAACTGCACCCATAACAAGAAAAGAATTGGACATAGCGATCAGAAAACTGAAAACAAATAAATACCCTGGGAGTGACGGCTTTCCGAATGAGTGGTATAGGATATTTGAGGAGGATCTCGCGTCTGTAATGCTAGACTCTTTCAACTGGACACTCAATAAAGCAATGACACCACCTTCATGGAAAGAAGCTGTGATATCTGTCATCCCTAAAGAAGGTAAGAATAGATAATGTTTGCGGATCCTACCGTCCAATCTCTATTCTGAACGTAGATTATAAATTGTTTACATCAATAATCTCAGCTAGAATGGAACACTTTTTGCCTGATTTAATAGACGAGGACCAGACCGGATTTATAAAAGAACGACAAACACAGGATAACATCAGGAGAACCCTTCATATTATTGATCAAGTAAACAAACAAAAATTGACAGCAGCCCTGATAAGTCTTGATGCAGAAAAGGCATTTAATAGGGTTAGTTGGCCTTTTTGTACAGAGTGCTAGAAAGACTGGGCTTTAATAACCAATTCATTAAGTGTATTAAATCTTTATATAAAGACCCAACCGCCAGAATCAAAATCAACGGCCATCTGACAAGCAGTTTTAAACTGTTCAGAGGTACTCGTCAGGGCTGCTGCCTGAGTCCTTCTCTATTTGCAATGTTCCTAGAGCCTTTAGCTCAAGCCATCAGACAAAACAAAGAACTTAAAGGTGTCAACATAGCAAGGGAGGAACATAGAATTGGATTATTTGCAGATGACATTATAACTTACCTCCAGGATCCAAATACAACTCTCCCCATACTTATGACAGTTTTAGATGACTATGGTAAGATATCTGGTTATAAACTAAACATCACAAAAACACAGGTACTCTCTCTGAACTACAAACCAAACCGGCTAATCAGTCAGAAATATCATCTGAAATAGGAAGCAAAATCAATGAAGTATTTGGGAGTGCTCAAGACCTGAATAATATATATGAAGCAAATTACAGCATTATTAACAATAAGATACAGAAAGATATGACAAAATGGTCAACACTAGTATTGGACTTTAATTCAAGAATTGAGGTAGTGAAAATGAATGTGTTGCCAAGGTTGCTGTATCTCTTCCTCTCACTACCAGTCAGAGTCCCAGAATCTCAGTTTACAACTTGGGATAAACAAATATCTCGGCTAATCTGGGCAGGTAAAAGACCAAGGGTAAAATTCAAGACTCTTCAAATCGACAGGGAGAACAGAGGTCTAGCTGTCCCGAATCTTAAGGAATACTTTTATGCTGCCCAAATGAGATACATTGTGTGTTGGTGCTCTTCAGAGTACCAAGCTAAATGGAAACATATTGAGCTGAACGTGATGCAGTTTCAACCCCAGGCCAGACTAGGTGGAAAAGAAAGTATAGACAAAAAGTGGACAACTTTATTTTAGAGGGAACACTGAAAACATGGTATGAAGTTGTTAAGAAGTATAAATTGGAAGGGGATAGTAAACTTCTGATATGGCCTTCTCAGAGCCCTAGATTTAAACCTGGAGTGATGGATAATACATTTGCTAAGTGGAGTGAAAAGGGAATAACAGCTATATGTACACTCATAGGGAGAAAAAGGTTTAAAACTTTTGAGAAAGTTAAACAAGAATTTAAGCTAGAGAATGGGGACCTATTTAGGTATTTACAGCTCAGACATTTCTATGATACAGAAATAAAAAAAGAAATCTCAGCTGAAGGTAGCGAAGTGGTTGAAACTCTGATTGGTGCTTACAAAAACACTTCATCAAAGCTTGTTTCTAAACTTTATAGAAGTTTGCAGAAACAAATTGGAAGCAATACATGGTATGTTAAGACTAAATGGGAACTAGAACTGAACACAAACTTGTCAACATTTGTGAAACACAACAGTCGTCCACGAGCTCTAGAAGGTGGAGGGAATTTTGGTGGAAAAATGTTATACGCTTTTTTGTCACACCCCAAATAAAAAATAAGCAACTCGGTACTCCACAGCAATGTTGGAGACAGTGTGGGCAGATGAATGCCAATAACTCACATATTTTCTGGTTATGTGTAAAATTGCAAACATTCTGGGATAGGGTTATTCAGTCTTTTGAAGATATTCTATGTTATAAGATTCCCAGAGATCCCCGGATTGTGTATCTGGGCCTGATTCCTAATGACTTGACCCATAAGAAGGATATCTACCTTTTTAAAATCCTGATTCTTGCTTGTAAAAAGGCCATCACAAGGAACTGGTTGAAAAGTGATCCTCCAAGTCCAGCACAGTGGTTGGCCATTGTGGAAGAAATTTTCTCTATGGAAAAACTGACTCATTACCTGCGAACTCGATCACGGACCCATGATCAACGCTGGATAAAGTGGACTGATTACCAGTATAAAAAGACGGATAGTGATATTTGCTGTGCAGAAAAGACTTAAGAGGAAATATTGAGAGCCCCTCACTACTTTGATGTGTGTTTGTTTATGTTTTGTTCTGCTTTATGTTTGTTAAAGTTGGAAATAACAAAGAGTAAAAAAAAAAAAAAAAAAAAATAGCACTAGTCATGATCCAACTTAAGGTGATCAGGAATCTCCAGAGTCAATTATCCCTCCAGCGAGCTCTGGGTCTACCCCAGGTCTCCTATTTAGTTGGGGAGGGAAGTACCCAGGAGGCATCCTAATCAGATGCTGTACTCAGAGCTCCCCCCAAATGTCTGAGATCCTCACCCTATCTTTAAGGCTGAGCCCAGCCACCTTCCGCAGGAAACTCACTTAGGCTGTTTGAAAGAAAAAAAGATTGTGGATACAGTCACTACCCATATCTCAAAACCAAAGGGGAAGGTTTGAACAAAGATTGAGCTTTGCCAAAAGGCTCAGCTCCCTCTTCACCACAACGCCCGCATTACTGCCGACACCGACACTGAGCTAATCAGTCTTTCAATCCCGGTCCATCCTACCCTCACTTTTGAACAAGAACCTGAGATATTTAAACTCCCTCACTTGGGGCATGGACGCTCCTACTGACGCTCACTGAGGTGCTGACCGTCACCCCAGCCTCTTTGCACTTGGCTGCAAACCACCCCAATGCCTGCTGGAGGTCCCAGCATGAGGAAGCCAACAAAACGGCGGCTGTGGCTCAGTTGGTAGAGTGATCGCCTGTAAAACTGTAAAAAAAGAGTCCAGCCCCTCTCCAGGAGTTTGGTTCCAGAACCGGTGCTGTGCGTCGAGGTGAGCCCAACTATGTCTAGCTGGTAGCGCTCCACCTCCCGAACCAGCTCCGGCTCCTTCCCCGCCAGTGAGAAGTAGTACCAGTCTGCGCCGCCCGGGATTAGTATGCCCATGCATCGCCTACGCCTGCCAACCGGCTTGGCATGCACTCGACCCCCATGTCCCTCCCTGTGGGTGGTGAGCATACAGGGCGGCACCTCCATGTAGATGTTTCTACATATTATTCAAAATGTTGCTACTTCTGGGCTCCAGGAAACATCAAAGTACTAAGTACTTTATTTTGCTGATACTCTTGAATGTGAATAAAATAATCAAGATATCAGAGTTGACATTAGAATATTGATTCCACTCTCAAAAGTGTTTTGATTTCAGAGCTTGAGTTTTAAATGGTTAGCTTGGCTTAGCTAAAAAACTGGAAGCAGCTTGAAAAAAGTAAACTGGCTTTGTGCAAAATTAATTAAGGGTCCAACAACACCTCTTAAGCCCACTGATCAACATTTTGTATCTTGCTTGGTAGACAAAAAAACACTGTTGAATTTTTGTCTTATACTACTAACCATCACCGTTCTGTTCCTCTCCACTTCTGTCTCACAGGTGATTGCCAGTGATCCATACTGGGTTCCTACCACAGAGGAAGAATACCTGCATTTTGGGGAGAAAGCTGATTCTGCCAACCAGGTCCTCAAATACATGAATGCTGTCCGCCGTCGCAAAGGCCTGTACGTGGAAGAAAAGATTGTGGAGCATGCAGAGAAGCAGAGAACACTCGGAAAGAACAAGTAGAGGAAAAATTTTTTTTTCTAATGAATCAGGTTTTTTTCTTTAAGCATGTTCATGCAAATAAAGATAGCACAAGCTTTGTGGCCCCTTTGATGTCAAATAATGAGTAAATGAATGTGTTGGAATTTAACATCAATTGTCAAGGCTTAAAACATCAGGGCTTTAATCCCCATCATGACCATTAAGATAGAATTATGCATACAGAATTAAATGGCTGGCAAACAACTGTCTCCAGACACTGACGATTAACAAGAAATAAAATATACATTCAAATCATTTGAGAGATTCATATAGAATTGGGCTCCTTTACTTTTCTAACTGCTTTGATGCCAACCATCACCGCCTCTGTGAGAACACATTGCATCCATACAGGTGACATTTTGGCGTACCAGTTTCTGATTACACATTGCAGTTCAGTGTTGCAGAAGCACGAGAGGCACAGCATGTAAACACACTGCATAAGCTTCACAATACACACACTCGTACATGACTACATATTGCTGTTCCATTTGATCAGATTATGAAAACAGTCATTTATATTGGAAAATATACATAAAGCAAAATATTGGGTATTTATTAAGGTATTTTATTATCAAAAAATAGAGGCCAAGGCTAGTGCTGTTTGATTTCATTTATGTCAGATTAAACATAAGGATGTATACACTCAATATTATTGGACTGATGCATGTACTCGAATACTAAAAAGGCCCTCATGTGCTTCGTTAGCATGATTAGAGCTATATCATAAGACTTCACACCTAAAGCTGAGATGAAGAAGAATTAAGTCCCAAAAGAGAGGACCTGTAGAGCTAATTTAATATCTGGGGGATGCGAGATGGTTGTGGGAAAAAAAAGAATAAACTGACATTTTAATAATGAAATAACGTTTTGGACTGAGTTTATTTATGACACCACCTCTACAAGTGACTTCATTTGTCATAGGGCTGTCATAGGGCATGGCGCTTCATGTTTTTCAGCGTTAGTTGCTGCTGTGAACCCTGTCCTTGATTTACCCATGATCAACGTACAATGTAGTCTAAATAAAATATACATATTAATCACATAAATAGGCTGTTTGCCATTCCTATACAGGGTGGTTTTGGGGTTAAGCAAAATTAGCTTATTTACATTAAAAATGGGTCCCTAATGTACATCCAGCCACAAAAACAAGAGTGTGCAGATAGAGACAGACAGAGAGGATGGCAAAAAGAGGGATCACAATGGAAGAAATATCTCCCTTAACCTGTTGAAAATTAATATTAAAAGAAAAAAGTAGCCATGGCTCAGATGGGAGAGTCGATTGCCTCTCAATTGAAAGGTCCAGGGTTCAATCCCTAGCCCAAGTTGCTCGTGCTACTCCAGGGGCAGTGTATGAATGTGTATGAATGGGATTAGGTCATTCTGATGGTCACATAGTTTTACATAGCAACCTCTGCTATCATTGTTAGAAAGGGAAGTTTGCCCTGCGGTGTAAAAGCGCTTTGAGTAGTCAAAAGAAAAGCACACTATACAAGCTCAAGTCCATTTACCATTCACTTATAGCCCTACATCATTTATGATAAAGATAAAGATAAACTTTATTGATCCCCCGTGGGGGAAGTTTGTGCATTACAGCAGCTCAAGAAAACGGGACAGGAATATAATTATTAAAAATAAAAATAGTTAAAAATCAAACATATTTACATCAGTTAAATAAAAAAATACAATAATGGAAAATTACACAGTAACTACACTGGAAAGAGTTATTGTTATTAAAAAAAACTGTAGCATTATTTATGAGTCATGAGGTGTTGATGCTGTTAAAGAGTCTGATTAAACAGTCTGACGGCAGATGGGATGAAAGACCTGCGGTAGCAGTCTGTCTTGGAGGGTGGGTGTCTCAGTCTGCTGCTGAAGGAGCTGATCAGGGCCCCCACAGTGTCATGTAGGGGGTGAGAGGGGTTGTCCATGATGGATGTCAGCTTCACTAACATCCTCCTCTCACCCACCTCCTCTACAGAGTCCAGAGGACAGTCCAAGACAGAACTGGCCCTCCTGACCAGTCTGTTCAGTCTCTTCCTGTCTCTCTCTGTGCTCCCTCCTCCCCAGCAGACCACTGCATAGAAAAGTGTAGACGCCACCACAGTGTCATAAAAAGTCCGTAGCAGAGTCCTGCACACTCCAAAGGACCTCAGTCGCCTCAGCAGGTGTAGTCGACATTGGCCCTTCTTGTACAGGACGTCGGTGTTGTGTGACCAGTCCAGTTTATTGTTGAGGTGAACACCCAGGTATTTGTACGTCTCCACCCTCTCGATGTCCAAGCCCTGGATGTTCACCGGTGCAGTCTGGGGTGACTTCCTGCGGAAGACAATCACCATCTCCTTTGTCTTGCTGGCGTTGAGCTGAAGGTGGTTGAGCTCACTCCAGTCGACAAAGTCCATGATGACCTGCCTGTACTCCTGTTCGCTCCCCTTAGACACACACCCCATGGTGGCTGTGTCATCGGAGAACTTCTGCAGGTGGCAGCTCCCAGAGTTGTAGCAGAAGTCCGAGGTGTACAGGGTGAAGAGAAAAGGTGAGAGAACTGTCCCCTAGGGGCCCCTGTACTGCAGACCACCATGTCAGACTCACAGTCCTGAAGCCTTGCGTACTGTGGTCTGTTGGTGAGGTAGTCCGTTGTCCATGCAGCCAGGTGACAGTCCACTCCCGCCCTCTCTAGCTTCCCCCTGAGCAGTGCAGGCTGGATGGTGTTAAAGGCACTGGAGAAGTCAAAGAACATGACCCTCACAGTGCTGCCGGTGTTCTCCAGGTGAGTCCAGGATCTCTGCAGCAGGTAGATGACGGCGTCATCCACCCCGATGTTCGGCTGGTAGGCAAACTGCAGAGGATCCAGATTTGAAGTCACCAGGGGGCGGAGACTTGAATACTATTTCTACATTTTATTTTGCAATGTCTAGAAATGCTAAAGGGTGTTGTACAGATTTCTAGGGTTTGGGTTGTCAGATTGTATTGTTAACATTAAAAACACTCGCTTTTTTTGCAATCAAATGCCGAAACAACTGAATACAAAGAAAGAGACACACAGAACGAATACACAAAGATGGATACAAGCATACATTTTTCATATTGTAAAAGATTCACTTTTTTCAATCACTTTCGAATGGAGTTCACATGCACACACCTCCACTCCACTCCCATAGTTACACAGCAATAAAGGATATAGAAATGCACTTAAACCAAATAACCATGTACAAATGTCAACAGGGCCACACTTACTACATACACATATAGGCCATTCCATCACCTTCAGTGGCCAGTTAAAACAAACTACCCTGGTTCCAAACCCGATGAAAGACTGAGGAAAATATAACTGTAATTAAACACATTATTTTAATTAATTGCCAGCTCTATCTGCTCCATCACATTCAGCAAAAGCTTGATTTATTCAGTTGATTTTTTGTTTTGCACCCCCTCTCAATGCTTCATGAGCTGTTCTGAGCTTAGCTCAATTCTGTCCACATACTATGGTGGAAGACGAGGGCGATCATACTGTAATTGCCCAAAAGATTACTATTCAAAGCAACAGGATGCAAATTAAAAAGAAAAACACAAAGAAGTCCAGACAATTGTAATAACAGGAACACACTGCAATCAAGAGAATGTACTTCAACAAAGGAAGAATATGCGATTTTTTGATCTAGCAGATGTCGCCCTTGAGCACCAGCATGAAACCAAAACAACTCATGCTGCATTGTTGTGTTAGCATGCTAATGCTAGCGATCTTTATTATGCTTGTATCTTCACACTGCATGTAAATTTACCTGAAATGAGCGTGATCTAGAAACACAGTTAAGCAGTAAGTACAGTATGTTATTCTTCTTTTCTCTAGTCCCTCAATTAAACAACTTTTATATGTGAGGGGATGAGCCGGCCGACCGTCCCGGCAATGTAAACAAACTGAAGCTAGGACTCTGAAAACATCACAAACACTGGGACTCGGGTGTTACACCCATTGTAGACAGTCATGACTCACAGAGTTATTTTCAGAGGATGTACTTGATTTCCATTACATTTTAGTTTGAAAAATCACATATTCTTCCTTTAACAGGAAATGGCAGCTGAGGTTGATCTCCTTAGCAAAACTGTCTTTGTTTTTTATAAACTGATCTCCCATACATGGGATACATGATAATACATGTATCATAAACTTATCTCCAGATACAAACAATGTGATCTGTGCTAACAAAAATAGACAGTCTGTCAATGGGGGTTTTGAGTTTAGAGCTGTATGGCTGGGCAGTGAGAGAGAGAGAGAGAGTGGGTGGATGAGTAGGTGTAAAGCGAGTGGTTAAAGTAGGCAGGTGGAGGAAGCAGTGTCTTCTGCATTGCTTCTGTGAGTTCAAATGTAGCTTACTGTCAGGTTTCCAATGTTCAGTAGAACTAGGAAACATGTTCATGAGATGCCAAGAATTAAAAATGGACAGAGAGATGGATTAAAAAAAATGAAAATCAATAAAAAGATCCCTCTACTATTTTCCATCTGCTATTACACTGCATGTCAAATTCCCCATACAGACACTGAAGGCTGTTAAGTTTAGTGCCCTCATCATTATATGTATTGACGATACTGGAAAGATGATTTTTGTTCTGAACAGAAAGGTTACCATACCATGAGATAAAACAAAAGTTTCAAATTGACTCGATAAAAGATCGGTAGAATAAAACCATCAGTGTCTTGTCCACATTAAAAGTGTTCATTCTGCGCAGAAAGTAGAGTCTCTGAAGGCCCTCTTGTCTTCTTGTCATGATTTAAGTTTTTATCAATCACAGTGCCCAGGTACTTGTAACACTCAACATTCTCTACAGGTGTGCATTTGATCATAGGAGGGAGGGTTGAGTGGGAGATTTTTTGAAAATCGATCACCATCTCTTTTGTTTTTTTAACATTGATCTTTAAGAAGTGGTAGTCGCACCACTCCACAAAGTCCTTCACAACAGGCCCGTGATCAACCTCTCCGCCCTGGAGCAGACTGATTAAAACAGTATCGTCCGCAAACTTCAGGAGATGCCTGTTGTCATAGGTGCTCCTACAGTCGTTTGTATAAAATATACAATAAAGGGGCCAGGACACACCCCTGGGGTGAGGCTCAAGTCTACTTCTCACTTCTCCCTATAACTGTATGCTCTTCCAGTAAATCATCTTAATTTACATCCTCACCTGGGAATATTACTTCAATTCACTTAATTTAAAAAAAAAAAAATTTGTTGGTGAAAACAACACATTTGGTTCAAAAGAG